AGGCTGAAATGTAGGCAGGCAGGCAGGGAGAGGCTGGGAGGTAGGCAGGGGGGGAGAGGCAAGGAGGAAGGCAGAGCTTGGGAGGGAGGCAGGCAGGCAAGAGGCAGGCAGGCAGAGGCAGGGAGGGAGGCAGGCAGGCAGAGGCTGGGTGGTAGGCATGGAGGCAGGCAGGCAGGCAGAGGCTGGGTGGTAGGCATGGAGGCAGGCAGGCAGGCAGAGGCTGGGTGGTAGGCATGGAGGCAGGGAGGGAGGGAGGCAGGCAGGCATGGAGGGAGGCAGGCAGGCAGAGGCTGGGTGGTAGGCATGGAGGGAGGCAGGCAGGCATGGAGGGAGGCAGGCAGGCAGAGGCTGGGTGGTAGGCATGGAGGGAGGCAGGCAGGCATGGAGGGAGGCAGGCAGGCAGAGGCTGGGTGGTAGGCATGGAGGGAGGCAGGCAGGCAGAGGTTGGGTGGTAGGTAGGGAGGGAGTGGATGGAGATGGATGGTAGGATGGAGATGGATGGAGGGATGGATTGATGGATGGATTGATAGATGGAGGGAGAGAGGGATGGCGCTATGGTTGTTGAGGTGAAGCAGAGAGAACGTGTGTATGGGAAGTTTGGGGGGGAGAGGGTGTCGTTGGTGGGGGAAGGGACCAGCTCGCAACCAGATGTTTAGATGGAGGGAGGGAGGAAAGGAGGGAGGAAAGGAGGGAGGGAGAGATGGAGGGAGGAAGGGAAGGAGGGAGGGAGGGAGGGATGGAAGGAAGAGATGGAGGGAGGGAGTGAAGGAGGGAGGAAGGGATGGAGGGGAGTGATGGAGGGAGGGATGGAGGAAGGGAAGGAGGGATGGTGGGAAGGAGGGATGGTGGGAAGGAGGGATGGTGGGAAGGAGGGATGGTGGGAAGGAGGGATGGTGGGAAGGAGGGAGGGAGGGAAGAAGAGAGGGAGGGAAGAAGAGAGGGAGGGAGGGAGGGAAGAAGAGAGGGAGGGAGGGAGGGAAGAAGAGAGGGATGGAGGGAGGGAAGAAGAGAGGGAGGGAGGGAGGGAAGAAGAGAGGGAGGGAGGGAGGGAAGAAGAGAGGGGAGGGAGGGAGGGATGGAGCAGTGGATGATGAGGTGAAGCAGAGAGAGAGTGTGTGTATGGGAAGTATGGGGGGGGGGGCGGGTGTGTGTGACGTGTTTGTCCGCCAGTGGAAGAATAATCATGGAATTTACTATATTTTGATTACAGCTGTATTATTATACAAGATGTCTCAAGGGCTTGCTAATTGTGCTGTATCTACAAAGAGGAAGAGGAGTTTTTTATCCATTGAGCAGAAATTAGACATAATAGAAACATGAACGTGGCTACTATGTTACTAGGCTGGCAGCAAAATTTAATGTCAGGAAAAGTACGGTGTGTGATATCAAGAGAAAGATGATATTAAGAAGTTCCTTGCTTCAATTGATAGTGGTGAATTAAATCAAAGGAAAACGATAAAAGGTTCTACAAATACAAATTTAGACGAAGCTGTGTATTTAGTGTATTAAATGGTTTAACCAGGAGCACTCTGTGGGGATGCCACTTGGTGGCGATACCATTAAGACAGCAGCAGGAAAAATTTGCACAAAAGATGAACATTCCAGATTTTCGAGCAAATGAAGGATGGTTGCAAAGGTTTAAGAATAAGCATAATATTAAGAACAGGAAAGTTTGTGGAGAATCATTAACACTTATCGCCCATGCCACGAGAGCGCCGCAGACTTTGACATCATGGGACTAATGGCGCGGGCGAGCGTGCGGCGACACCTAAATGTGCATACTCGTTTGTTTTCTCACCTTAATTCTCGTGCTACGTCGTTCATTTTGGTATCATCGTGTTCACAATTAAGTTCCCTACAGATGTATATGCATATAATGTCCAAAAGCCTGGCAAGACTCCCCACAGCAAGCCTAAAATTACCCGCGAACGAGCACCCATTTGCACACTACAACCTAATGTGTATACTCGTTCAGTTTGATAACATCAATTTTCATGTTACATCGCTCGTTTTGGTATCAAATTGTTTGCAATATACAGGTGCGCATTTTAAAACTAGTCCCATAATAATAGCACAATAAATAGAATTTTAACAAATATTTTAAATGTGTCAGTGGTGGGGAAGGGAAGAGATAAGCCTAACACTTGACCCAGTTAACCAGATGTTTGGATGCAAGGAGGGAAGGAGGGAGGAAGGGATGGAGGGATGGAGGGGAGGGAGAGATGGAGGTAAGCAGTCTCCGTGGTGTAGTGGTAAGACACTCGCCTGGCGTTCCGCGAGCGCTAAGTCATAGGTTCGTATCCTGGCCGGGGAGGATTTACTGGGCGCAATTCCTTAACTGTAGCCTCTGTTTAACGCAACAGTAAAATGTGTACTTGGATGAAAAAACGATTCTTCGCGGCAGGGAATCGTATTCCAGGGACCATAGGATTAAGGACTTGCCCGAAACGCTACGAGTACTAGTGGCTGTACAAGAATGTAACAACTCTTGTATATATCTCAAAAAAAAAAAAAAAAAAAAAGGAGGGAGGGAGGGAGCTGGGAAGGAGGGAGGAAGGGGAGGGAAGGATGGAGGGAGAGAGGGATGGGAGGAAGGAAGGAGGGAGGGAGAAAAGGAAGGAAGGAGGAAGGGATGGAGGGAAGGAGGGAGGGAGGAAGGGAAGGAAGGACAAAGGGATGGAGGGGAGGGATGGTTGGATGGAGGAAGGGAGCTAGGAAGGAGGGATGGTTGGATGGAGGGAGGGAGGGAGGGAAGAAGAGAGGGAAGAAGAGAGGGAGGGAGGGAAGAAGAGAGGGAAGAAGAGAGGGAGGGAGGGAAGAAGAGAGGGAGGGAGGGAAGAAGAGAGGGAAGAAGAGAGGGAGGGAGGGAAGAAGAGAGGGAATAAGAGAGGGAGGGAGGGAAGAAGAGAGGGAGGGAGGGAGGAGTGGATGATAAGGTGAAGCAGAGAGAGTGTGTGTATGGGAAGTATGGGGGGGGTGGGGGGGTGTATGTCAGTGGTGGGGAAGGGAAGAGATAAGCCTAACACTTGACCCAGTTAACCAGATGTTTCTTTATTTAATTCTGGATGTACATCATATATATTTTTGCTTGCAGATTTTGTTTAGTAATAATATTAGGATAATAAAAAGTTATAAAATACTTGTTTCATGAATGCTTTATTAGATGGAGATTCTCCAGGCTGTCTGGCAGTCTACTGAGCCATTTCCCAGAAGGGTCTTGGGGGGGGGGGGGGAGGCAGAAAGTGAGGGTGTCGGGGTAGAGGTTCAGTGAGGGTGAGGGAGGGGATGAAAGGGGGTAAGCTGCCTGCTTGCCATGTGAGGACCCTCTGATGCCAAGACAAACCCAATACCGACCTTCGGTAATATCGACCGCCAGACCGTTATATGAGGCTCTAAATACCGTTCTCCCAAACCGGTCGTTATTACCGGCAGATCGGTATAAAAGAGGCAGTTAAATTGAGTGGATACTGTACGTTGAATCGAGGTTGTACTGTCCTATTATCCGGAACATGTGATTATCCAGCTGGGGGTCCTTCACATATAGTCCAGATAATCAAGTGAAGACAGTATTTATACCTGTCTACACGCACCTGGAGGGTTGTGGGATTTTTATGGGGGAGTCCGGTATGGGGATGGGGAGGGGGGGTAGGATGTAGCGGGGATTGGGGAGCTGAGGGAATGTGGCGTGACCAGAGCTAGTCTGTGATAGTCCGCCTGAACCCACCCAAGCCCACCTACAAGATCGCCTACCCGCCCATACCCATCCAAGCCTGCATATCCGACTGAAAACGCTCAAGCCTTCCTATCTGCCCGAACCCACCCAAGCCTGCCTACCCGCCCGAACCCACCCAAGCCCGCCTTCCCGCCCGAACCCACCCAAGCCCGCCTTCCCGCCCGAACCCACCCAAGTCTGCTTACCCGCCCGAACCTACCCAAGCCCGCCTTCCTGCCCAAACCCACCCAAGACCACCCACCCAAACCCACCAAAGACTGCTCCCCCCAAACCCACCCAGCCAGCCAGCCTGTCCAGCAAAGCCTGCCCAGCAAAAGTCTGCCTAACAACCTACCTAGCCCACCCAGCCTGCCCAGCAACCCACTTAGCCCACCCACCAATTAAGTTACCCATCCATCCTGCTCGCCGGTCAGCCACCAATCCATCCATCCATCCATCCATACTGCACGGCTGCCTACCCACTCACCCAGCCAGTCCGCCAACCCAGCCATCCTCCCTGCCTATGCACCTACCCACTCCGTCTGCCTTCCAGCCAGCCACCAATCCATCCACCTACATACCCACCCACACAACCAGCTCACCTGCCCACCTGCTAGCTAGCCTGCCCGCCAGTCAGTCAGTCAGTCAGTCAGCCAGCCACCAATCCATCTACTCACCCTGTTCTGCCCATCTACCTGCTAACCATGCCTGCCAGCCATCCCATTTCTCCCCCACCCAATCCCTCCCTGCCCGCCTGCCCACTTGGCCTGCCCATCCACCCACCAGTCAGCCATCACTGACACAATGCGTGCATTTGGAGCCAACATGGTGCACTGATGTTCCTTGGTTGTGCAGATCCAACAAGTCACGAAATGAACACTCCAGTCTTGTGACAAATCAAAACAATGTGAATAATGGGCCGTGAATCACAGATTCATGGCCCATTGGGCTCATCTGCACCAGATGTCACAGGGTAGATGGTACTAGAGTGGTGGTGCTTGACACGGTATGTGAGCAAATTAGGCCATCACGAGGCCTGGCGGACAACTTCCTCACTTCCCAAACTTTCTTCGGGAAGCATGAAACCCCAACCCCGATCGTTAAATTGGAACTTTCGGATAACTTAAGCTCACAAACCAAGTGGTCCTCTGTATACAGTAATTTTAGGAAGAGGTTTTGTCCTCTGTTGCCCTTTACAAGTAAAACATATATACTTTACTCTCCCTTGATGTTTGGTTTGCTCTGTGTTTAAAAGTATAATTAACAAAAGTGCTTTGCTGTGTTTCAGAGAGTATGCTCTGCGAAGAGTTCGAGATGGTTTCAAGGCGGCAAAAAATCTCACAGAAGAGGATCAACAAAGAGAAATACAAGTTGCTAAAGAATCATTGGAAATTATTAAGAGACAAGTAAGGTTCTGAAGAATTGTTGTAATTAAAAAGCTGTACATAAAAGAATAATTTTTTGGGACATTAACCCCTAAACTGCTCTGGGCTATTTAACCTTCATCACCCACAGGTGCAGCAAAAAAAAAAAAAAAAAAAAAAAAAATTGTCTTATAAAAGTGTTCATTTGTGTTCCCCTGGGCATGGGAAAAATATTAAAAAAAATCATAGGTGGCATATTTTGGCCACAATAGGGCGGAAAGTCTGGCAAAAAAGAGGCGTTGACAGCAATCGTTAGTGACGGTCTGCTCTGCCCGAGCTGTCAGGCGGGCATTGCCACAAAGATATTATTACCGAATTATTCCAATGTCTCTGATTGATTTTCTAAGTTTTTTTGCAGTAATATTATTCAGTAATGTAGTTTAATATAGTTATATAATAAAATGTGTGAATCATCGCTATACTCAAAAGTATTGTGATCATATTTGTGATTCAATTATTGTGTTCATAAAAAATAAACAATGTTGCTGTAACTATTACACTATATACACAAGTTACATAGGTATACAGGTATATACAGTTTATTACACAATATACACAAGGTACTCACCTATCTGTGCTTGCGGGGGTTGAACTTTGGCTCTTTGGTCCGGCTTCTCAACTGTCAATAAACTGGTGTACAAATTCCTAAGCCTACTGGGCTCTATCATATCTATATTTGAAACTGAATGGAGTCAGCCTCCACCACATCACTGCCTAATGCATTCCATCTGTTAACTACAGGTACTCTGACACTGAAAAAGTTCTTTCTAACGTCCCTGTGGACTGTGGATAATGCAACTGGAAATGGGTAAACTAATTGACTCTGAGGAAGGCTACAAGCAGGGGTCAAGATAACAATGGGCCTCCAGTGTAGGTGGCTGCCCATGCCGCAGGGTGGGGATGCCACGTGGGATATACAGAGCAAGGGAAGATGTTGGTGCACATTTTAAAACAAGTCCCATAGTATTCGGACAATAAATGTAATTTGTATATTTTTTTATATTTTTCATGCCATTTGCATCATAGGGCATACTCCGTATTTTGGTTTTATGACGTAGACAACATCATCAGGCAGCGAAAGTGTTAACAAGCTTGGGAATACACAGAACTATGCTGCTACCCTGTTCTGTATGAAGGACCACACAGTGAATAAAAAACAGCTTCAATCTCATCCAATTTCCCCACTTCACAGGATGGCCAGTCGTACTTGGAATCGGGAGAGAACATGAAATTTAAGGCTGATCTATTGGTTTTCAAAACAACTCTGGTGCGGGTGGACGGGTCTAATCCCTGTGCACACAGCACTATGTGCGCTTTCCTTTGGATGCGTCACCACAGTTCAGTGACCTACGGCCTCGAAATAATAAAATTAATAAATAATTTCTAAAATAAGCTTTTTTTTAGCTCTTAACACTATTGGTAACTTTGGACCGGACTCGCGTCCATTATTTTTCTCCTGAGTCCTAACTTTGGACCAGACTTGTGTCCACTACAAAAAATATTTGTATAAAATTCATTTTTTATCCAATCGACCTCGGGATAGTATCAAAATGAGCGCCTTTAGAATGCGCACAATTTGATACCAAAATGAAATATGTAACATGAAACTTGATGTCCAAACACTTATATGATTATAAATAGGCTTTTGGTCAAAATTTTAAAATATTTGTTAAAATTCTATTTATTATGCTATTATGTTGGGACTAGTTTTAAAATGCGCGCCTTTACATCGTGAACAATTTGATACCAAAATGAAAGATGAAACACAAAAATTTATGTCAGAACACTGGAAAGATATAAATAATTTTGTGATGATGAGCATCCAGAATTAAAATATTTGTTAAAATTCCAGTTATTGCTCAATTATTATGGGACTAGTTTTAAAATATGCGCCTTTTTATTGCAAACAATTTGATACCAAAACGAAAGACGTAACATGAAATTTGATGTTATCAAATTGAACGAGTATACACATTAGGTTGCAGTGTACAAATTGGTGCTCGTTCACGGGTAACTTTAGGCTTTTCTGCGAGGAGGCACTCCAGGCTTTTGTACATTAAATTCATACACATCTGAAGGGAATTTAATTGCGAACACAATGATACCTAAAAGAGCGACGTAGCTCCAGAATTAAGGTGAAAAAAATTGAACGAGTATGCACATATTACTGATTTTGTGCGCTCACGGGTAACTTTTGCCGACTTTAGGCTTTGCTGTTGGGAGTCATGCCAGGCTTTTGGACATTATATTTATACACACCTGTAGGGAATTTATATGCGAACACAATGATACCAAAACGAGCGACGTAGCACGGGAATTAAGGTGAGAAAGCTGAAACGAGTATACACATTTAGGTGTCACCACGCACTTACCCGCACGCTCGGTGCATGACCCCTAAGTTGACCGCGCGCCTGCCTGGTGAGCGATAGTGTTAATTATTATTAAGTTGCGCAACCTATCATATGATGTGTTGGAGTACTACGCAAGATTTAAACGGCCCGCGGATACACTGGGTTCACCTCACCTTCATCAGGGCTCTTGTAAAAAGACTCCATTTAAAAAAAAAATCGTGGGCCAAATTCCCGGGTGTGAGGGCCTCAGTATTGACTGAGTCACCAAGCCTGACACGCTGCATGAGCTTACAGCACTGCTGTTCAGCTTGTGACCACAGCATCACCTAAAAAGCGATAATATATATATTCATGCTATTGTTTAGCGATGATATTATTACAGGAGACCCCTGACTGTGATAAAAATTACCAGGATTCTGATAATAACAGGATTGTTGTGATAATTAGCGCTGTAGTGGGAGGAGTAATCTTGGTGGGGAGGGAAGTAGCATTGACTGACTCAGTGTGACCACCGTTTTACTGTCTGGACTCATATAGCAGCTTAGTTGTTCCCTATGGTGAACAAAACATGCAGATACTTTTCTATAACATCTGTATATAAAAAATAAAAGCAAAAACAGTATGGTGGGAGGAGAATGGTTGAGAGTCAGGTGAGGTGAAGGGAGGGAGAAAGTGGCAGCCAGTGGTGGGCTGCCACTGTCACTGCCACTCAGCATACCAACTTAGTGGTTTGTTATTATGTTATGGTGAACACAAATGTAGATACAGTACAACCTCGATTCAACGTACTATATGGGACCAACCCCAGTTCGTTGGAGCGTTGGATTCGTTGCAAGAGGTGACCTTCAGGAAGTGTTTGTGTCAGTGCCTTTTTTTTTCTTGTACACAATAAAAATGCATTATCATATTACATACTGTACCTATATATTACTTCTCTACTAAAAAATACTGTAATTCATAAATTTACCTTATTATTGGAGTTATGTCCATCTTAAAGTTTCGTGAAGTTGTGAATGCTCTACAGTAAATACGTGCTGTAGTGCATTATGCCGTTAGCACTGTGTTGATTAAAAATAGTTCTGCTGTATGTTGAGTACTACAATACAGTTTATGAAAACTATTGTACACTAAAATTACTGCAACATTAATTTTAACACTGGGTACACACTTAAATTTAACACTTGTTCTAACTGTTCACGCCGCACACGATGTTTTTAGATGTTTGCATCAGCTTTGATGGTGCTTGCTGCTGCTGAGGGTTCAGCTGCTTCTGAGCTGGTGCTGGCTGCTGTTGTACCAGTGCTGGATACAACTGTGCTTGTGCTGGGTACGGCTGTTTTCGTGCTGGGTACGGCTGTTCTCGTGCTGGATACGGCTGTTTTCGTGCTGGGTACGGCTGTTCTCGTGCTGGGTACGGCTGTTCTCGTGCTGGGTTCAGCTGTTCTCATGCTGGGTACGGCTGTTCTCATGCTGGGTGCGGCTCTTCTTGTGCTTGGTACGGCTGTTCTCGTACTTAGTACGGCTGTTTTCTTGCTGGGTACGGCTGTTCTCTTGCTGGGTAAGGCTGTTCTCGTGCTGGGTACGGCTGTTCTCGTGCTGGGAACAGCTGTTCTCGTGCTGGGTACGGCTGTTCTCGTGCTGGGTACAGCTGTTCGCGTGCTGGGTACGGCTGTTCGCGTGCTGGGTACGGCTGTTCTCGTGCTGGGTACGGCTGTTCTCGTGCTGGGTACGGCTGTTCTCGTGCTGGTTGATTTTCTGCTACTAGTTCTTGCAAAATATTGCTTCGTTTTTGGCATTAATAAGGCACTATTAGTAAGCCCCTGTGACATTTTGTTTTATAACCAAAGAGTGTAGTAAAAAAATGGTCAATTCCACAATTATTCTTCCACAAGTGGATAAATACTGTTTGTCAATCGCAGACAAAGCTAAGGGCACTGGGTGCATACTGTACGAACGCAGACTAAGTCTATATGTACACCCTTCAGTAGGCTGATGTTTAAGCCAGATCCAGTAACATAAATCTCTCTTAAATATTCGATTTACATCAAATTATATATTTTGGGGTTATATATTTAGTTTAACAACATTATTACGGTAATAAGAGATCATAAAAAAAATACTTACTTTGGAACCGATTTATTTATTTTATTATTTTGAAGCCATAGATCACTGAACTGTTGCGACGAAATCGAACAAAACAAGCATGGTGTTGTATGGACAGGGATTAGACCCGTCCACTCGTGCTGGAGTTGTGCCGCCAATAATGTGAATAATTTCTCAAATAGCAGATATCTATCATATTACAGTATATTTTTGGTTTTATTTAGTTTAGTTTAACTAGGATAATAAAGAGTTATTAAAACACCAGTTTTAGAAATGATTTATTAATGTGAAACGTTCAAAGTCATGGGTCACTGAACTATGACAACACAGACGAAAATGAGTGAAACCTCACTGTAAAGTGAAGTTTACTGTTCAGTACTGTAACCCCGCGATTATCCAGGATTCGAACATCCGGAAAACACCCTTATACGGCCAAAATCGTGATCGGATAAAGTTGTCACAATATCCGGCCAAAATGGCCACAGGAACCGGATAAAAGCTGGTTTGACCGGATGAAAATTCGGCCAT